GGGGGGGGGGGGCTCGATTGTGTATGCTGCATACATCTGGTTTTTAAAATTATTTTTCGATTAATTATTCGGAGAGACTGCGCCAACTGTTTTATTCTCCCCTCATCATTTGCATTTCCCCTGGTTTTTCGTTTGTTGATTGGGCATTCATTTTTTCAACTTTTTTATGAGCGATGCCATGGGGAACATAACATGATACGCTGCGGTGGAAAACCACGTGGCGCTCCGACAACCTCGATGTAGCCCAGGTCGGGAGCAGTCGATGATCTCTTGACACTCGGTTGAGATGAAATTAATGGAACATTTTTCTTAACAATGTTTTTTATTCAAAGATCCAAAGTGTTTATGTGTAGTATTTACACATGAAAAACGAGTCGATTGAAAATTTGTTCGACTTGGGAAACGTTGGGTGCTGTTGGAAGAAAATGTTGAAATCTTGGGAGAGTGACATTAAATGCGATTTGGGGAGGAAAAATCTGAAGTTTCAGATTTCGCTGATAATTTCTGGAGTTAATACCTTTACATTAGGTTTGTTTTGATAATTTAGTTACTGAGCAACTGAAAATTCAATTGAGTTTAATTGGAATTTTAAGGAAATTCTAAAATTTTCAACAGCATTGAGATGAGAATTCGTCAAACTATTTGATTTTTTAATGAAATCACGGATATTCAGTGTCGAATTACAATAAATTTTCAATTAAGGGAAAATTCAAAAATATGTTTACCGGAATTTCACTGATTTCTAGTAATTTTGAGGGAATAATTTAGATAAAGTTCACAGTTCCCATTGATTTTTTCATGAAATTATGAGTTTTCAATGACAAAATTGCTTAAAATTTCAGTGGAACTATAATGTGATGAAAATTTTCAGAAAGAGTAGCGGAATTTTCAGTTAAAAATTTTTAACATTAACTCTAATGGTCATGAAATATGAGAATTCCGTAAACTATTCGAGTTTTTAATGAGATCACAAATATTCAGTGCCGAATTATAATGAATTTTCAATTAATTAAAAATTGAAGAATATATTCACCTGAATTTTCCTGATTTCTACTAATTTTCAAGGACTAATTGAATTGAACTTCGCATTTCTCATAGACTTCTGTAAAATTCTGAATTTTCAATGACGAAATTACTTAAAATTTCAGTAAATATATTCGGTTCCGGAATATCGCCCCGTCCCTCTTCTAGTTATTGATTCACTATTTTTTTTTGTTTTGGAGTATGAATAGTGAAGATTATTTCATAAACGTCAGTTATTCAAGAGGTGGATCCATCATGCGATCCCATTATTTAAAGGAGAACACTTGGTTCATTTGTGGGGAGGGGTCCATGATAATTCAGTATGATATGAAGTAACAGGAATAACTCTACGAACAGACTGTCAAGGGGATATTCACCTCAGGTGTCGTTCAACCTTTTGGTCCAAATATGAAGAGGAATTGGGTTAGGTTGTCAGAGATCAATAAAGGGGGAGGAAATAGATGTGTTCAGTTAATATTTATTTCCGGAGAGAATTCAAGTCTTTATGATTCTGAATTTTTTATAGTGGATGTGGACAACGCAGGGATATTAATAATTAGCATTATACATAATTAAATACTATTTATAAATAATTATTCTGAATTAACTTCATTTATTTCTTTCACAATATAATTGTTGTCGAGTTTTCGAGACAATTGAGGTGAATTACTCAATTACTGATATTACACGGAGAGAAAAATTCCCTAGTATGAAACCACCCACACGAAAAAATTTATATTTTGAAAAATATATTTTAAAAAATATCTCAAATCGGCCCAATTTATATTAAAAAAAATATTTGAACATATTTTATATATACTAAATTTATTTTATTTATTTTTTGTTACTTATTTATTTTGGAATTGCCCCATATTGTCTAGATTTTTTATATATTTTTTTACGGGCATCTTTGCTTGAGTGACGTAAATTATTTTGAATGGCTTCAATATCAGAATATTTGTGCTTCACGGAACTCGAATAAATTCTCATTTATCACCTCCGTTCCGCGTTGCATCGCGAATACATCACCTATCGAAACATTGGAAGTGCATAAAAAAATCATGAAACCAATAAATACTTGAAGATTGACGATGCTTCTACGCGATTTGGGTGATCATCGCTATTTGCGACAAAATCACACCTGAGTACAGCAATATTTTAAATTGTCGAAAAATGCAGTAATCGTTGAAGAAACGAACGAAAAATTACTTGTCTCAAGTAAATACGTTTCAGATACAAATTTTTTCCCTCAGTGATGTATTGATATTATTAAATTTGAGATAAATTATTGGCGTTTGTCCACTGGTGTTTGTGCATGAGATGAAGACGTCAGTACAAAAATCATCTGGAAGATACATTCAACCCCGAACGAATGGAATAAATTCCCATTGTCTAACCACCCCTCCTGACGACTCGGAAACCCC